ATCCGAGGAAAAATGAAAAAAAAAATAAAACAGAAACCTCCGAATAGGGCAAAAAAAATCGTCCAGTACCTTAAATCTTAAAAAAAAAAAACCCAGCGTGTAATAAGTTAAAACGAAAACTGCTCAATATCTATGCTCGTATCTATAAGCAGACCAAAAGTAAAATAAATAAATCCTAATGAGCCAGGTTCTACCTACCTAGGTTTCACCACATGGGATCATCAACGTGAACTGGACAATTCACCCTGATGAATTTAGAAAACGCTATTATATTCATATTATCAACTGAAAATGATTAGAATATTGAATGAAATAGTGTTTTCTAAATTCTTCTAGTTGCAAAGGACATTTTGTTTGTTGTTAATAGTTACTTTGTTTTCAATAAATTAATTTCGTTTTTGCCCACACTGGACGAAACGTATCGGCTAATAATACAGTTTTCCTATTGTCTTTTACTTTATATATATTGTCTTTTTCAGCATGTTAACTCTGAGAAATTTTATATTTATATATATATATATATATATATATATATATATATATATATATATATATATATATATATATATATATAAAGACATTTTTATGTTTAACGTTCTTTTATAGATACAAGTATTTAAGTAAATGCTCTGTTTATAATAAACAGTATTAAATAACATTTACCGGCCTGAATGATGAGAAATTTTCATAGAAAATATTCGTCCTTTGACAGGATTCGAACCTGCATCCTATACGGAACCGTCATTTACGCTGACGTGCCTTGATATATATATATATATATATATATATATATATATATATATATATATATTTATATATATATATAGATAGATAGATAGATAGATAGATAGATAGATAGATATGATAAAGAACAAGTAGGAAATAGATCTTAATCTAACATGGTTCACTTTATTAAAGCTTCGTCAGAGATCAAGATTGAAATGATAAAAATGATAAAAAGCAACAATGAAAAGAAATAGTTCTGAATATACAAAAAATATATAGTAAAAAATATATAATACTTAAAAAATACACACAAAAAATACACTATGAAAAATATACACTAGAAAAAGAATTACAAATTACATTAGAAATGACGCGTTTATGAGCGCGCGTTGGAGCATGAACATACACGCGTCTGTTTATGTATTGGTAGTATATTCGTGAACGGAATGATGGGCACGCGAACGTCGCCATGCACGGATCACCAACAGAGAGAGAGAGAAAAAAAAACAAATCTAAAAAAAAATCTTGTCTTTAAATGAAAAACATTTTAACCCTTGAAAAGTGAACATGAAACACGAAACTACGTAGCCGGGAGAGGAATAAAAATGATTCAAAAATGGATATTAATTTACATTATGTAAATTTTTCGATTTTAAAAAATTATATATATATATATATATATATATAATTTTATAATATATATATATATATAATTTTATATAATATATATATATATATATATATATATATATATATATATATATATATATATATATATATATATATATAAAAAGTTGCAAATTAAAAAAATAATAATGTTTTTTTTTTATGATATATATATTTCAGATTGGCCTCTGAAGAAAGATTGAGGCCAATCTGAAATATCAAATATATATACAAATAAATAAATACTTTCATAAAAAAAAACATTATTATTTTTTTTTATTTGCAACTTTTTCTATATATACATATTAAGAAAGTATACGTGGCTTCTCATTATATATATATATATATATATATATATATATATATATATATATATATATATATATAAAAAATTTTAATTGAAAAATTTACAGAGCAAGACTTTATATAGGTATTAGTCCTTTCTTAATGAAATATTCCGTTTTTAAGAGAACAGAATTTTATTGACGCCCCAGATTACAAAACTCATCGTAGTATCCCATTAGATGTTAGTTGAAAATACTAGCCTACTGAGTTTTATTTCATTTGCTGTGATGTTTTTTTAGGGTCAGTATTTTCTTTCAAGTTTCAATAAAAACTAATTATACAAGGAAAAAACCTACATTTCAGAAAATATAACGGCAAAATTATTATTATTATTATTATTATTATTATTATTATTATTATTATTATTATATCCTTTGATTTCTGGCGTTTACACATTTCTTTCCGGGTCTCGCCCAGGGACCTAAGGTTAGAAATGGCATTATGAGATTTTACACTGACAAAAAAAAAAAAAAATTACATAGATAAAGTCCTTCGTAAAGTGTGGGCTGTAACTTGTCAGAACAATTTTTTGTATCTCTTTAAGGCATGGCCTTCCAGGAATCCCTTCAGTTAATCTACTGGAATCTTTTCCAACCAATCCTAGGCCACAACTACAACAGGGATTGTTGATGTAAACATGTCCCACATTTTTGAGATTTCGATTTCAAGGTCTTTGTATTTTGACAGCTTTTTGAATATCTTCAAAGATGTATTGCAATCAACAGGGACTGCCATATCAATAAGGAGGCACATTTGTCTATGGTCTTTAATAACAATATCTGGGCGGTTGGCTTTGATTGTTCTGTCAGTGTGTATTGTGTAGTCCCATAGAATTGTAACAGGTCCTATCTCCGTAACTGGGTCTGGGTGGTGTTCATACCAGTTTCTTTCAGTTTCCATCCCGTAGAAGTTGCAGATTTTCCACTGCAGATATTGGCCCACTCTGTCATGCAGGGTTTTATATTCAGTGGGAGCCAACACCGTGCAACCTGATACAAGATGATCAATCGTTTCTGGATATTTATCACAGAATCTGCATTTTGGGCTGACACAATATTTTAGTATATGTGCTTGATAAGTTAGCAAGCATTGGTCCTGTGCAGCAAGGATAAAACCTTCAGTTTCAGCTTTCAACCCTGCACTACGTAGCCACTGATGGGTACGGGTTTTGTCTACGTCAGCTTGTTTGGTACGGGCAGAGTATTGGCCATGAAGCGGTTTATCTTGCCATCGCTTCTGTACCTGGTCGGTTGCATTTGTCTTTGCTTTCTTTTTTTAAGTATTTTGCAGCTTCAGCCGGTGTATTGTGCTTTACTTGTATTTCTGGGCTCATCATCATTATTATTATTATTATTACTGTTGTTGTTGCTGCTGCTGTTGTTGTTGTTGCTGTTGTTGTTGCTGCCGTTGTTGTTGTTGTTGTTGTTGTTTTATTTCCTTTGATTCCTGTTGTGTACTTATTTCTTTCCGGGAAAGGTCAGAAATGGCATCATGACATTTTCCACTGAGCAATTAAAAAACACACACGCACACACATTTTGCATAGATAACGCCATTCGTAAGGTGTGGGCTGTACTTGTGAAAACATTTTTTTTGTATTTCTAGGCATAGGCTACCAGGAATCCCTTTAACAAATCTATTGGAATCTGTCTGTATTTCTGAGAGGAGCTATTATGTACACTATTTACATTATTCGCACTATTGTCCTCATCTTTGTTGCCATATTTATCCGATCCTTCAGTATCTGTCTATATTCCTGACATGAGGTACTATGTACACTATTTACATTATTCGGACTATTGTCCTCATCTCTGTTGCCATATTTATCCGATCCTTTATTATCTGTCTATATTTCTGAGATGAGGTATTATGTACACTATTTACATTATTCGCACAATTGTCTTCATCTTTTTCGCCATATTTATTACTACGTTTCGGCCGTTGTACGCTCCGGCTTTCTTCAGGTGATTGGGATGTCGGACTGAACCCTTTATTTCGCTCAATGGGGTAGACTGTTCTAGTTCCACGTCTATTGGAATCTTTTCCAATCAATCCGAGGGCTCCATGTTCTCATGTACCACATTTTTGAGATTTCGATTCCAAGTTCTTTGTATATTGATAGTTTTTTGAAGAACATCAAAGGTACATTGCAGTCTGCAGGGACTGCCATATCAATAAAGAGGAACTTTTTTTTGTTTGAGGTCTCTAATAACGTTGTATGGGCGATTAGCTTTAATTGTTCTGTCTGCATGTATTGTGAAGCCCTATAAAATTGTTACAGGTCCTATCTCCGTAACCGGGTGGTCTTTCCGTAAAAGTTGCAGGTTTTCCAGTGCAGATATTGGTCCACTCTGTCATGCCGTGTTTTATATTCAATTGGTACCAATATCGTGTCACCTGATAGAAGATTGTCAATTGTTTTTGGATATTTATCACAGAATCTGCATCTTGGGCTAATACAATTTTTCAGTATGTGGGTTTGATAATTTCTAGTTAAAAAACATTGGTCCTGTACAGCAAGGATAAAACCTTCGTTTTCAACTTTTAACCCTGCACTACGTAACCACTGATAGGTACGGGGTTTGTCTATATCAGCTTGTTTGGTACGGGCAGAGTATTGGCCGTGAAGCGGTTTATCTTGCCATTGTTGCTGTATCTGGCTGGTTGATTATTATTATTATTATTATTATTATTATTATTATTATTATTATTATCTCTGATTTTTGTTGTATACTGCCTTTTGGAAGGTGAAGTTTCCAGCAGTCAGCTTTGACAGTCGGACCGAACATTCTTGCTGTAACACTCTCGTTTGTATATGTTTGTATTACTGTTTCTGTTAATATATTTGTTTAACTCAATTCCTCTCTTGGTCTGAACTGTACTTGTGAGTATAATTTTTTGTATTTCTTTAAGGAATGGCCTACCAGGAATGCCTTCAATGAGTCTATCGGAGCCTTTTCCAATCAATCCGAGGGCTCCAACTACAACTGGAATTATAAATGTCCTTATGAGCCACATTTTGAGATTGTCATTATTTTTGAGATTATTATTATTATTATTATTATTATTATTTCTTTAATATTGAATTTTCAGGATGATTTTCTTGATTTTGACACACCTCGAAATACAGACTTCACCCATCTTGAATAATTTCTCACTTTTACACGTGAGATCTTGGTGTGTGTATCAAATAGCATCTGCAGCATCCTCTGAAATCATTTCGCATCCATACGCACCATTCGCACTGGTAAAATAATAAAAAGATGATACGGTTCCTTCATACGCATTATCAAATATGGCGTTACGGACAGGCTGGCGTCTCTATCAACCACATTAGTTTAATTTCGGTTGCATTATAAATTATTTATTGTAAAGGAATTTCTTTCGTTATTTCTTTCCCCTTTGTTTCTTTCTCTTTTTCTTTCTTTTGTTCAAACTTGTTCTTTTTATGTTTATTTCTTTTCCTCTTTCGTTCTATCTTTTTTGCTTTTTCGGTATTTTTCCGTCTTTTTTTATTTTTTATTTTTTTTTGCACTATCGTTCTTTCTTTCTTGCTCGTTCAACCTTCCTTTTTTGCTCTTTCGCCATTTCTTTTTTGTGCTTTCGTAATTTTTTTTTCTTTGTTCTTTTTTTTCTTTTCCTTTCTTTTTTTTTGTCCGTTTTTCTTTCTTTTTTTTAGCGCTTTCGTTCTTTCTTTTTTTCTTTTTTTTCTTTTTCGTTCATTTTTTTTGCTCTTTCTTCCTTTCTTTCTTTCTCTTTTATTCTTTCTTTTGCTCTTTTGTTTTTTTTTTATCACTTATTGTTCCTTCCTTCGTTCGTTGTCTCTTTTTTTCGTCCGTTTCTTTCTTTTGTTCATCCTATTTGCTGTCTTTTTTTTTTTTTTTTATATATATCCATACATATATATCATATATATATATATATATATATATATATATATATATATATATATATATAAATATATATATATATAGAGAGAGAGAGAAAGGGGGAATAGATAGATAGATAGATAGATAGATAGATAGATAGATAGATAGATAGATAGATTACACTTTCGTTCTTTCTTTCTTACTCTTTAACTCTTTTTTTATCTTTGTTTATTTCTTTTTTTATTCTTTCCTTCTTTTTTTTTTTTTTTTGCTTTTTCGTCCTTTCTTTCTTTCTCTTTCGGTGTTTCTTTTTTTATCTTTGTTTCTTTTATCCTCTTTCCTCCTTTCATTTTAATTCTTTTGTCCTTTCTTTTTGGCTCTTTCATTCTTTCTTTTTTCTTCTTTTGTTTCTTTTGATCTTTCATCTTTTTTATCACTCCTTGTTCCGTCGTTTCATCGTTCGTTATCTCTTCTTTCTTTCGTCTATTCTTTCTTTTTTCATTCTGTTTTCTGTCTGTCTTTTTCTTTCTTTCTTTATTCTTACATATATATCTATATATATATATATATATATCTTTCTATATATATATATATATATATTTTATATATATATATATATATATATATATATATATATATATATATATATATAGATAGATAGATAGATATAGATGAGTCTGTCTTTCTATCCGACTCTTCATCTCTCAATCCATCATGTTTACATTATTTATATTTTGTTCGGACTGTTATCTTCATCTTTATTACCATAGTCACGACGTTTCAGCCATTGTACCCTGCGGCCTTCTTCAGGGAACTGAAATTTTGAACAGAACCCTTTTTTTTTTCGTTCACCGGGGTAGATTGTTCTAGTTCCATGTTCCATGCCTCTTCTGGATGTCCCAGTTATTTCCCTTTAACTCAACTCTGTAAGTTTTTTTTTCTCACTGCAGTAGCCAGGTCTTGAACTCACAACTCTTTGACTCAAGCCACTAGATCCAACCAACGCTTTATCAAACCAATTCTTTTATTTCTTACAAATTTCATACATATTCTACTATTCATATCCTATCCTAAAAATCTCGTCGGCATTTAATAACCCAATGAGGTTGATATGCCGTAAAACAAAATAAACTAAACCAAACCAAACTTTATTATTAGTCCGTATGTGTTAACTTGTTTGGCAACATGGACAACTTAGTTTATAGTACTTCCTACAAACACTAGTAATATTTATATTCGGACTATTGTCCTCATCTTTGTTGTTGTTATCACAACGTTTCGGACATTTTGCCCTCCGGTCTAAATCAGGTGTATATCGATGAGCGTGAAAATGAGGCCAGCAGACTCACTTTCAGAGCAACAGGTGACCAAACGGATGTCCTGTTCTCAAGTCACGAGAGATATCGGCTCTACATGGCTACTTTAGGTGAAACACGTTGACATTTAAAATAAGAGGCTGTTTTCACTCTTTTACAGCATTGTACCATGTTGATTATTCCGAGTGTATGATAACGTACTTGGCAATGCGAAAAACTTGATTAAAACTGTTTCATATTCGTATAGAAATGTTGTATTGCCAGCTTAACAACGCGTTTTATTGCCTTTTTTTGCCAAGAACATTAAAACAAGGCGAAACCAATCGTCAAGTGCTTAAGCTCCAAGTTCAAAGAGAAAAAAAAAAAAACGAATAGAAAGACTAAAACATAGAGTGCTTAATACGCTAAGTAAAGGGATAAACTAGAATAATCCTAAGGAGCCAGGCAAACCTACCTAGGTTTCACCTAAACGGATCTTCAGGGTATAGCTGGCTAGGGAGGAAATATAATAACGGAACAGTCTTTATTGATAAAACCTTAACCACGTAACAAAAAATAAAAAAAACAAAAAACATTTTCTCTCTAACCAGGTTTATACTGAAGATCCGTTTAGGTGAAAACTAGGTAGGTTTGCCTGGCTCCTTAGGGATTACTTTTATATATATATATATATATATATATATATATATATATATATATATATATATATATGAATCATTCATACAAAAAACATATTAGTGAAGTTAATGATATAAATGTCGAGAATACATCTTTTAAACAAATTTATTAAAATTACATTAACCCACGAACCTCTAGATGAATGTTGTGATCCCTGTTTTTAATAAATTCAACTTGTATAAGGTCCTTTTTGTTAGTACTTTCATCTGTTCATACAGACGTCAGCAGGCATGAAAATTGATTTGTTTTTTTTTTTAAATACATCCAGGTAATAACAGGACACGAAATATTAGATGTGAATCGAAATATGTTTTTTAGAAATGTGTTATTGTTAACTGTAAGAAATTCTGGAGCGTGCAGTCGCAACGCTAGGGTTGAATTTTTTGAAAATTTAAAAGAGAATGCGTTTTTTTTTTACTAATATGTTAATTGGAGAATCCTTTTGCTGAAGTAGTTTTTTTTCAGTCGATGTGGCATGAACTAAATTGGTCAAAAAATAGAGCAATGTCACAGCTATTATCCCAGAAGTTGCACGTCGGATCAGTTCTTTTTAATTCAAATATGTGGTGCAGTTCAAGTTATATTACATGAATCATTCATACAAAAAATAGATTAGTGAAGTTAATGATATAACTGGCGAGAATACATCTTCGCAAACAAATTTATTAAAATTACATTAACCCACGAATCTCTAGATGAATCTTGTGATCCCTGTTTTTAATAAATTCAACTTGTATAAGGTCTTTTTTCTTTTTTTTTTTTTTTTTTTTTGCTATTTCTTTCATCTGTTCATACAGACATCATCAGGCATGGAAATTGATTTTTTTAAAAATACATCCAGGTAATAACGGGACACGAAAGGTTAGATATATATATAGTACGCGGCTAAAAATAAGACGCACCCATAGGAATGATAATGAACAAAATGTAAAGCTTATTCCATTTGTCTTTACATATATTAACATGCCTAAGCATTGTTCTGTCTTCGGAAAGGCCAAGTCGCCGCTTTTCATGATCTTCGGTTGTCGAATAGAGTGATAGCTGGTAAGGTTAATCGAAATGAGTCATATGTGCGCAAGTTAATCAAAAAGAGAAATCAATTTGGAGCATATAATAGACGTAGTGGATCTGGACGACCGCTAAAAAACTACCAACAGGGAAGATAGAAACTTGGTTCGTCAACGCAAAAAAAAAAAAAATGATTGATTCGCAACAGCACAAGATGTTTCCAAAGCGGCTAGCTTGACGGTTTTTTCAATATCAGTCAGACGTAGGCTTAAAGCAAAAGGCATTGTTTTCAAATACATAAAAAAGAAACCTTCCTTATCTGGGAAAAAATAGACAGGTACGTCTGGCTTGGTGCAAAGCTCATTTACACTGATTGGGAAGATGCTATGTGTAGTGACCAGAGCTTCTTTACTCTTAGGTATGAAGGGCGAATACGTATTTGGTGTACTCCCGGTGAAACGAGTACTCCAGTGACTACCAAGAGCACTATTAACACATGATAAAATAAATCAAAGTTTGAGGTGCGTTCTCGGCAACGGGAGTCGGTAATTCGTACAAAATCAAGGGAATCATGGACTAGCATCAATACCACAACATTCTTGTTAATTAAATGCGGCTTTCTGCTAGAAAAACTTTTTTACCCAAGGTCGCCGCTTCACTTTCCCACGCGATAACGATCCTAAGCATATTGCCTTAAAGAGGAAGCGCGAAACGAGGGTAAATTACAGCTCTTCCTGTGGCCTAGTCCGAGTCCTGACGTTAACCCAATTGAAAACTTTTGGGCGATAATGGACAAGCGTGCCCGTAATAGGGAAGTTAACACAGAAGACGAGCTTTTTCGCAAATTTAAGAAATGCTGGAAAAATCTGGCGATGGATTACTTATATTTTTCGGAATATTGTCCTCATCTTTGTCGCCATATTTATTACAACGTTTCGGCCGTTGTACGCTCCGGCCTTCTTCAGGTGGTTGGAATGTCGAACTTAACGCTTTATTTCGCTCACTGGGGTAGACTGTTCTAATTCCACGTGCCATGTTTAATGGATGTCAAGTAAATAAACGGCGCCTGAACGGTCGTTACGCAGGCTCCTGGCCTTTGTGGCCAGGACGCCGACCAGGGCTGCGTATTAAGTTACGCTCTCATTTTTTTTTTTTGATAAACTTAGCATTAATCATACATATCCTCGTTCTGTTGTCCATTTTGTTTCACCTTGTCAGATTTAACGTCTTTAATACGAAAAACGTTGGCAGGCCTCTTGTGACCTCAACATCTTACCATACGGGGGCGCTCGGGCCGCGGTTTCATATCGTGCCCCCTCCAGGGGGTCCACTACAAGACCATATGTGTTCTGTTTTAGCTCGATTATTTTTATATGCTGGTCAGTAGTGCAT